CCCCCCCCCCCCCCCCCCCCCCCTCCCCGGGACAAGAGCTGCTTCGTATTTATGAGCACAGGGCCACGGGGACGAAATGGCTCAAGTCTGACTTGGTAAGACAATGTCGCTTCTCTTCGTCTCTTTCTCCCTCTCTTTCCTACGTTCATTTTCCCCTCCGTATCGCATCGGCAACGGCATCGAAGCTTGTTAATTTTTGACAAATTTTTTTTTCCCACCCCGCCTTGATAATTCGTCATTGGCACTTAATCGACCCCTCATCATCACCACCTGGATCTACAACCCCTCATACACCTCTCCCACCACCACCACCACCACCAACACCACAATGACATCGTTGGCCGAGGAGGAGCACGCCTACTTCTCTACCAACCCGCCCCCGCGGCATTTGGAAGCGCACCTCGCGCAGGCCAGAGAGTTCATTGATGCCCACGCTGCGTCGGACCGACGTGTGGTGCTGGTGACGTCGGGTGGCACGACGGTGCCGCTGGAGAAGCAGACGGTGCGCTTCATCGACAACTTCAGCGCCGGCACACGCGGCGCCACGAGCGCAGAGTACTTCCTCTCGGCGGGCTACGCCGTCATCTTTCTGCATCGCGAGTTCAGCCTGGTCCCCTACGCGCGGCACTTCTCCCACGCCACGACCGGCGGTTTCCTCGACTTCCTCGAGGAAGACGGCCAGGGGGGCGTGCGGCCCCGCTCCGACGTCGCCGCCAACATGTCCGACGTGCTCCGGTCTTACCGCCGTACCCGCAGCGAAAAGTTGCTCCTCACCATCCCCTTCGTCACCATCGGTGACTATCTGCACGAGCTGCGGGCTCTATCGCGCCTCATGGCGCCCCTCGGTCCCAGGAGCCTGCTGTACCTCGCCGCCGCCGTTTCCGACTTCTTCGTGCCCCCCGACCGCATGTCCGAGCACAAGATCCAATCGACCAACGCGGCCGAGAACACAAGCATCGCCGCCGCCACCGCTACTGCCGGTTCTTCCTCCAAGGACGAGGAGGAATTTGACAACTTTGACGGCGCTCCGACTGTGCCCCGCTCCAAACGGCTCGTCATCGACCTCGACCCTGTACCCAAGTTCCTCAAGAACCTCGTCGATGGCTGGGCACCCCAGGGTATGATAACCTCGTACAAGCTCGAGACGGACCCGTCCATCCTCGTCCACAAGGCCCGCACCAGTCTAGCTCGCTACCAGCACCACCTAGTCATTGGCAACCTACTGCCTACTCGCAAGTGGGAGGTGGTCTTTGTCAGTCCCGGCCGCAAAGACCGCTGGCTACGCGTCCCCAGCAAGAGCGGCGACTGGAGCGATGAGGACGTCCGTCGCCTCCACGAGGGTCACATTCCCTCCGGTGAACCTCTCATGGAGCTCGAGTCCCTCATCATTCCCGCCGTCAAGGAGCTGCATGACCAGCACATACAGAACCAGGGAGGCCAGTAATGGGCCTATATACCCAATATACTTGCCAAGAAAGAAATGCGGCTCAGAAATACATTACTTGGAAAGACGGATCAACAAGTGCGTGGGACATGGCTGAGAGGAATAAAAGTTTTGGGCAATTGTCACGGAGCAAATACTGCCTTCAAAGAAATAGAGGGAACAGAGAATATCATATGCATATATCCAGACATGTTTGGGCGTTTTTCTTCTTCTGGTTGAGTTGCCTGTTTTATTTTTATTTTTATTTTTTTAATTTGATGTAAGACTAGATAGATCTATGCAGGCGTTGAAAAGACAATCATATATTTATATATGTATATGCGTTCACTTCATTATGGGCAATAGCGGATATCGTGTCGTCGTGTCAGTCTGTATCCATGTAGACGGTGGATACTATTGTTCTTGTCTGATTCAGAACCAGGATGCAATAAAGATAGTTCCGGGAGAGAGCGTTACTTTTCCTCTAGTTTCCTTGGTTCCCGGGTACCGGTCTTTGCCTTTTGTTTCTTCTCGTTTTCTTTTCTAAGCCATGCTGCGGCAGACGAAGTGAAGAAGACGGGGTTTGAACCCAGCATAGACGGCTCTGGATAATAGAGGAGGTGGGACCCACGAGAAGTGAATTAGTAGGCAACTGCCCACTTTGCCCATCCCAGGGCAGAGCACTTGGCCCACACGAAGAAGCAGAGAGAGACGGCGTAGAGGGCGCCGGTGAAGATTATAAGGCCCTGATAATCGCCGCCGTCTGCCTGGACAATGTTTCCGGCGATGGGAATGCCGATGAGGGTCGCGAAAGAGACGATCGTGTAGGCTGTGGCGTAGTAGCGACCGTACTCGTTGGTGTGGCACAGCCTGCCGATGCACACGGGGGAGATGGAGACGCCGTTGCCCGATGCGAAGCCGAAGAGGACGGCGAAGACGATGAGCCCGGCGGGGCTGGACCCGGATGGCAGCCAGACGCACAGGCAGGACACGATGGAGAGCAGGATGGAGCCGATACAGGTGTTGAAGGGCCCGATGACGTCGGCGTAGTAGCCGGGCAGGGCTCGGCCGACGATAGAGCCGGCGTTGAGGATGGGTATCAGGTGGAAGGCGAAGGACTGCGAGAAGCCCTGGTGCACGGCGTAGGTGGAGATGAAGGTCAGGGGCACGAACAGGGCGAACTCGAGGGTGAAGAGCCCCAGAGTTGTGAGGAGGAACGTCTTCTGCCGAAAGATGCGAAAGTCGGGGCGCGTCGAAGCGTCCACCGAGGGCGGGAGCCGCGACCGCACCAGCGCCAGGCCGGCGATGCACCCCACGAGGCAGATGAGCGCCAGGACCAGCGTCGTCCACATGTAGCCCACGCGGCCAAACAGCGCCGTCTGCATCAGCGGGAAGACGACGCCGCCGACACCACCGCCCGTGCTGGCCAGCCCAGTCGCCAGTCCCCGTCGTGCCTTGAACCAGTGGCCCAGGGAGGCGATGCTGGGGGTGAATAACAGGGACGAGCCTATCCCACACAAGACGCCGAATGAGAGGATGAAATGCCATAGTTCTAGGTTCGGAAATCGTCAGCTGACACCGCACCCGCCGGAGGGCGGGAGGGGGGTGGTTTCACTGCCCCTCTCGCCTTCCAGAGGTCGGCGAGGAGGAGAAGGGGGGAGAGGAGGGATTCTCACTCGTGCAGAAACTCAAAGAGACGACACCGCCGACGGTGAAGGCGGTTCCGGCCACTATGAGCCATCGCGGGCCATACTTGTCAAACACGGGTCCGATGTAGATGCCGCAGAAGAAGACGAGGAATGTATAGATGGAGAACACCCAGCCGACGGTGCCCTCGCTGTGCCCGCGGAGCTGATGGTCCAGCACATAGGCCTGGAAAAGGGCAATGGTGTTCATCAGGCCCAACGACGACAGCAGTGCGAACCACGATCCCAGGACGACGATCCACGCCTGGGCGCCGCCTTCCGGGTACGTCTCATCGGCGTCGCTGCCAAGTCCATGGCTGCCTCGGGTGCCTCTCGACCTCCTGGACGATGCACGGGTCCTCACTTTTTCCAGGTCGCTTACGGTGGCTGTGCCGTCGGCGCGGTTTCCCTCATCATCAACGTCGTGAATCTCCAGTTCCATTGTAAGTGTGTGTGACGCTGCCCAGGGGCCTGTTTTTGGGCACCGGAGGCGACAGGTTCCAGCGCCCCCGAGCAGGTAGAGTCTCCCTATTCGCACTAAAACATACCCCTATCCGCACTGAAAATATTTTTTTTTAAGGTCCGCTTTAAATTGATTTATCCACCTCCTCCTATTGACTGCGTTAGACATCCTCACCTTTCGTTACTTCTTTTCCTTCCTCTAACATTAGCATCATTATAGACGACGACGAGCCTGAAATCCCCGCCCCCCCCCCAACCCCCCCCCCCCCCCCCCGCCGCTGCCAACTCATTTTGGCAGCCTCGATGAGCTCATTGCCTTTCTATAGCTCTTCTTGTGCAATATTAGTATCATCAAGAGACTTCCTCCTAGCTTCTAAGGCCCGGATAACACATGAATAACGCCGCCCGCAGGCTTAGGTGCCTTGCCTATATAGCGTCACAAAGAGCACTCAGAGCACTCCCAAGTTCATAGGGAGTTAGGCCTCCGATGCTAAGCGTGCGTCGGATGCCCTCCTAGGTCGAGGTCGCCATATAGTCTTATATTATAGCGTTCATCGTCACATAAAGGACGAGGCTAAAGGGTTACTTCCCCTCTACCTTAACTTCTCTCTAAGCAAGCAGTGCTTGCCCCGGCATCTGTAGCGTATGCTTCACCGCACGCGTAAATGCGCTCATGAATGCATGCGTGAATCTACGCGACCATCGTCAAGTGTCACATAGCCTCTCAGACCGTAGCATTGTCTCGCTCGAACCGTCTGATGCTCAACCCTTTTCTTTCTTCTTCCCTCACGTCCACTCCGCCGCGGCACAGACGTCCTGACACCGTGGGACCATCCACCGCTCCATCTAGACAGTCCTCCATGTCCCGACGGCCATCTATCCAATGGGTCTGGCGCCGAGTACGATGAGCAGCTTGGAAAGACTGGTCCTCACCTCCAGCGAAGGCTGGAGAGGCTGCCTAATGTCGAGCTCGTGTAAGTACCCGAGTGGCAGAAACTCCAAGTTACATGACACGCAGGACACTGCAGCTAACCAATACTTACATACTAGAGGTCGGCCGCATAAGACGCTTCATGTCCCCGACGCTTTCCACGGGAGCGTCGATCTCAAGAAGACTGCGGACATGAAAGGGATCTGGCCTCTCAATCCACTTTTACCTGGATGGGAGGGTCGTCCCATCTAGGAGACTGTCTGTCGAGGCCAAGGTGTCGCAAGTTTTGGCGGACGAGCTGGAGCGGCTGGCCGAGGCCAAGGCCGCGCAGGAGAAGAACGAAGCCGCCAACGAAATCCGGTCGGAGCAACGGGGTCATCGTACATTGGAAAACCAGAGCAGCGGTCGTGGATGGTTACGTGTATACAGGGATGGCCTTGTGGGCAGACTTGAGGTTCCTCCAGCTACATGTACAGAGAGCCTCAACGAATAGCCACCATTACTGCCACCTTCGAATCTGAATTCTGTTTCTTTCAGCGTGTCTCTGATTCCTCCTTGTGCACGTACCTTACATGTACCAATCGAAAGTCCACGAAGTATATCTCCTCACGTCACGAGTGAACGAGGTGGCGCACGGCTATGCGTGATATTTGTCACCGTGATATCGGTGACCCCTTTTCACGGCGCCGAACAGTGACTTGCCGCGAAATATCTCAACCTCTCCTACCTCCTTCATCCAACCATTTGCCAAACCACAGAAAAACCCAAGGTATGCACTCCTCCCGTCTCCTTTCCCTACTAGCAGAAATCCCAACCGTCATCGCCACGAGGTGCCACGTAGCCCTCGAGGATATAACCGTCCAAAAGGTGCTAGCCTACGGCCTATCACGCGGACCGCCATCTGGACGGGATGATGTGCCAAGAGACGTGGAGTCGTTGGATAATGACGGAGGATACGCTATGTTTTCCATGATGGAGGGGCGCGATACTTGGGAGGTGTAATGCGAGGACGGCTATGGACATGTTCGCAAGAGGAGGGGTAAGTACTTGGAGGATGGATGTTGGGGTAGATCCGTTTAATCAGAAAGCCCAAAGCGTCCGTGGCAGCGTCGCACGCATTCTACATCGTCATGGAGGGTTGGTGGGGTAACTGCAACTCGGCCCTTTAGGTTTTTGAAACTCCATCTATCCTCGCTCCACTCAGCCTCTTTCTGCAGGAGAAAACTAATAGTGGTACTTGGGCAGACTGCAGCGTGGGTTTGCTCCATTCTATCAGTGCTAGTCGTAGGAATCACCATCCATAGTCGTAGTACCAGCGAACTCGGCAACGCTGCACCGTGCATATGCTTCCAGACAGGTTCGTCCCTGTGGCATCTCCATGCCATGTTTTCAGAAAGGTCCGACATTTCCGCCGCTCAAAGCAGGTATATCTCTCCACCAGCCGAACTGGGGAGAACACGGGCTCCTATTGATATGGTATATTGTATAATACGAGTGACACTCACCTCATAATCCACGCGCTCGAGCCTTTGTCTTCCTTTTGTTCCTCCTCCATCTTCTTTCGTTTCATACCTTCATCCTTTTTTTTTAACCTACGTCTCCAGAGTCGTGCATGATAATTTCCAGGAGCCAAGAACAACGAGCTGAAAATGAAATAATATCTTTGCAAACACATTAGAATTATAACAATTGGTCAGAGCCAACTTCCCCCAGAATGTGACAGACCAAAATCTGATGTAAATGAGACCAAGATGAGACCTCGAAATGTGGCGATGCGTAATAGCCACCATCTTCGAGCTCCGTGAGCGTATAAAGAAAGGTACGAGCACTAGAGCCTCAAGACTTGCTGGGACGGCCACGGCGACCCTTGGCGGGCCTCTCAGCTGGCGACTTGGGTTCTGGCTCCGCTTCCGGCTCAGCATCCTTTGCCTTGGAGGCACCACGCTTGCCCTTCTTGACTGGCTTGGGCTTCTCCCCCTCAACCTCCTCGGCCTCTTCAGCTTCTTCCTCCTCCACCCTCGCCTTTGCTGCCGACGACGTGCGCTTTTTCGGGGCAGTAGGCAACTTCTTCTTCTCCTTCTCCTTCTTCTCCTTCTCCTTCTTCTCCTTCTTCTTCTTCTCCTTCTTCTTCTTATCCTCTTCGGACTCCTCTTCCTCCTCTTTCCGCTCATCCTCCGACTCCTCCTCTGCCTTCTTACCCACTAGTTTACGACCACGCGCAGGTTTGGCAGGAGCCGCCTCCTTCTCCTTGGTAGCTGTAGCAGATTTGCCGGAAGCCGTCTTGCGAGATTTCTTGGCCTTGGGTTGCTCATCCTCCTCATAGTCCTGGACCTTGCGGCTGCGCTTGGCCTTTGTGGGGGGGGCGTCCTGCTCCTCCTCCTCCTCTTCCTCTGCCTCCCGCGCCTCCTTGGCTTCCCTCTCCTTCTTGCTCAACCAGAGGCCCTTTTCGCCAGGCTTGCACTTCTCGGGGTCCTGATGTCGCACATGTCAGTCTCTGGGTAGGCGATGAGTCTGAGGCCAATTCCCGCTGACAAGAAATGGGACAGAAGGGGTAGGGTGCTCATACGCCTTTGAAATCCTCCAGATCGATGTGGCCCTGCTCAATGGCACGCCTGATCTTGGCTTGCACCTCGGGTTGATTGCTGTGTGGTAAGGCACATGTCAGCATCCGCCAAACACGGCTTTTCTCTCTCTCTGTCCTCCCCCCTCGATAGAGCATTGAACCTACCTGAGCTCGTCGTAGCCATCAATGGCATCGAAATCGTAGCCCCCGTCGGGCTGTGCAGCCAACTCTTGAGCCGTAGCCACCACGGCGCCGGAAACGCATCCCCTGCCGCGATTCATGTGAGCATCAGTGACGAACAGGATGTAGCAGCGTGATATCAAGATCCGTGCGGAAGGAACGCTTACCAATGCCTCCACTGCCAGCTCGCGCGGTCCAGCGACGCAATCTCTACCCATGTGCCCCAGCGGAGAGAGCCCTTGGCGATCTTTTCTTTATTCTTTTTGCAAGCCGTCTCATTGCAACCTGCACGGTTGTTGGGCGAGATCTCTGCAGACTCATCTGTATCAGCACACTAGACTCGGGCAGGGGGGGACTAGACAGAAAGGAGAGAGAGCAAGAAGACCAAGCTAGAACGATGATAGATATCCTCTAGTAGATAGCTTCAATCTAGGGAGCACAGGGAACACCGTTACTTACCAATGCGATATTCGGGCATCTCAGATTTGGCGGGCGCACACGCACTTCAAACGTGAGACAGTATTATTATGAATGACGTCGTGGGGCGCAGCTTAGGCTGCGAATGTAGAACCGTACGAAAGCGCAAAGCTCGAGGAGCTTATGTCGGGGGAGAAAAGACACGCCTGATAAGGAAAATGATGATGGAACAGATTAGAATGACACTGGATACGGGAAATATCACATGCAACGTCAGTGTGTTGGACGTGTAAGGATCTTGTAGCAATAGCGAGTTGAGAACGGGAAGAAAGGGCAGGCAGTCAAAGAGGGAGAGACCAACAGACAGTCACGCGTTTTCGTGTTGGGGGGGAAGGAGGGAAGGGGGGGGGGAGCTCCTGCCGCTGCTGCGTGTTGCGCGTAAGTCACGATTTTTGCAAACGCCCCAATTATTCTTTTTTTTTGGGGGGGGGGGGGGTAATTTGATCATGGAGACTTTCCATGGTCATTAGATGACGACAATCAATAATGTAATGTTTAATCGTTGAATCAAACGTCAGGATAACTGCATTGGTCTGAGGAAACAGAGAAAGATAAAGGGCTAAGAAATTCTAGATATTGAAATCTCCTACGGGGCGTGTTGGGCGGCAACATCGAACCGTAGTAATAATAATAATATTACATCGGGCGACATACAGGTCGCATGTGAATGAGCATCCATCATCACACCCTCAGCTACATATAATGACTCCTCCGCTCATCTTCCGCCCTCATTCTCCCGCGCCACTACCGATCTACCCTTTGCCCAACGACTTTCCTTGGCTTCATCGCATCTTTGATGTAATCTGGCATGACCTTGAAGCCTAATAATGCACAGGGTAAGCCGCATAGTCGTAGTCTAGTACGTGAGATGAACGCCCATCCCCACCTGGCTGCTACAATTGCTCATGATTATCATGGTAAAATTACTTCATTCTCATTAACTTGGTAGGAAATACATTTCTCTCTCTCTCTCTCTCTCTCTCTCTTGGAACCCTTGTGATTTACCGTCTATATGCACATGTATGAGCCAACCCACCTTCCCTTTGTCCCCCCCTCTATATACCAGTACATGCCTCAAAAAAAAAAATTAAAGAGAAGAAGAGCAGAACGAAGGAGAAACGGAAGAAGAGACGGAAAAAAAGACAAGGTCATCATTCAAATGTACCCAACTCCATTTAGCCACCACCGCCGCCGCCACCACCCAGAGATTACAGAAATGGACACCATCCGATATACATGGCCGTCAGGTTCCTCGGATCCACCGCCTGCTTGATGAGCTCGTCCACCTGGCCCTCGACGCCGAGGGGAATGGTCTCATTAGGCAGCAGGCCAGACACTTTTCTCTTGATGCTGTCCACGACGCTCTGCGGCTGCAGCTTGACGCCACTGCTATCGGCCTTACGCGAGGCCCTCTTGTCCTTTTGCAGGTCCAGCGTGGGGTCGTAGATGAAGGACTCGAGGATGGTCATGAGCGTCTCCTCCTGCTGCCGCAGGATGCTCAACGTCAGCTCCGACGACTTGCGGAATGGGCCCTCGTAGCCGTGCACGCCCATGGCCGCCACCATGTTGTTCGTCAGCCGGAACGGCACGCGCTCCGGTTTGGCGAATGTGAGGCCCTTGTCGAACAGGCAGTTGAAGTCGACGTGGAAGACACCGCCGTTACCCTCCTCCAGGTTGACATTCTCGCCGTGCCGGTCGCCCAGCCCCAGGATTGTCCCCACCATCGACATGACCGCGCACGACCTCGTGTACCGCAGCCGCGCCGCGAACCACGCCGCCGGATTGGGGAACTGATGCATGAACCACAGCTGGAGCACAGGCGGGAACCTCCCCATGACGTCGTCGGTGAAGATCCGGATCCGGCTCTCCGACACGGACGCCTCCTCCATGAGCTGCTTCAGCGTCATGTAGTCTGGATAGATCTTGCGTGACGAGTACAGGTTCAGCAGGATGTCGCGGATCGTCTTGATCCCGGGGACCCATTCGATGATACCGCACTCTTCATTCAGCGGCGTCACGGCGTACGTGCGAATATACAGCTGTCTCCGGCTGGACTCGGCGTCGCGTTTGAGGGACCGGTTGATCATGCTGTTGAACTCCATGAGGCGCTGGTCTGTGCGGAGATCATCCTTGGGCTTGATGAGGAGCATGTAGTTCTTGCCGTCCGTTCCCCTTGCCGTCAGACGCCGAGGCTTGGCAAGAGAGCTGAGGACCAGCACGTCGTCCAGGAAGCAGTCGATCGTCACCACGTCGCTCGAGAAGGCCTTGTGCCTCTTCTTGTTCTGCGATACCGCTGGAAGCGTGGCCGTCAGGAGGCTCTCCGCCGGCACGACCAGAGGGCAGGGCGTGCACTTGTGATTGAACCGGAGATCCCTCGTGAGGCTCGCATGCACCGTCTTGTTTCCTTGGAAGTCGCCATTGTGGCACGCCCCGAGAAGCTGGCCCGCCAGCTTCTCCACCATCCTTATCAGACCTTTGACATCAAAGGATGCGCCCTCCACATTTTTTGATCCGTTCCGCAGCGTCTGCAGGATCTGCGTACCGCGCGCCTTGCGCTCCGATACTTGACGCGTCGTCATGATCCCGATCAAGCTCCACAACGCCTGTCGCGGATAGGCCTCGACAACCTTGACGATGATTTGCGTCAGCCGCTGGAAGACGTTCTGATTCGGGTGTGCAATTCGGGCCACGATCTGGGGCAGAGCAGTGTAGAACACGTATGCCGGGAGTCTGTGGATGTACTTGTCCAGGAATGCATGCAGCAGGTTCAGCTGCTCCAGCCGACGCCGCTGAAGCTCGCGTGTCAGCGACATCTTGCCATCCGGGGGCTTGTCGACCTGCGCGCCAGTGTCGAGCCAGAGCGTCAGGATTCTTGGCAAGGTCTGGTACAGGTATTTGGTGCCGTTGTTAAGTGATCTGAGGTAATTTTCGATGACTAGCCGCGCTATCTCTCCCGTCACGTAATTGTCCGTCTGGTCATCGCTAGGAAGGGGCTTTTCTGCCTCAAGGACTTTCTTGTAGTGACGTCCGAGATAGTAGTGGCCCTTTTCCCACATGGCCATCGTCTTTGGCGGCTGCTGGTACTTTTCGCGTAGGGCGGTAGCATGCGTCTGCCCGGCTGCATCAAGCCATTTTGCCAGAAGAAGTTGTGCTCGTGCCGTGAGCAGCTTCTGGTCGGAGGTGAGCTTGGTGGTGCTAGATACACTCGAAGAAGCTCCGGTCGCGCCAGTCTGTGTCATGAACTTGTTGCGCTCAATGGCACCCTGTAGAATCTGGATGGCCTTCCTGTGATGATTATCCCTCCAGAGGAGTTTTGCATTCTCAATCGTTGCCGCATCCTCGTCAAGTTTGGACGCGTGGAGGACTGCGTTGAACGACTGGTGGAGCAGGTTTGTCTTGCGCGCCAGTCTAGCACTGGACAGCCACAAGGCAGATATATCCGTGTCAGAGAACTTGGATCTGTTTCGGGTCAATATTGGCTCCACAGCGGAAATGGCTATTGCTAGCTGGAGAGCGGTGGTGGAGAGGGGATACTCACTTCGTAACCTCCATGGCTGCTCTGCGAATTCCGAGAATGTACTGCTTGTCGTTTGAGTAGGCACCAAGAAGGTTCAGGCGTCCTTCCAGTAGCTCCATCACCTTCCTGTGCTCAGCCTCGTCCTCGGCTTTTGCGCCGACGATAAACTCCAAGTCCGTTAACACATGACACTTTAATAGCTGCTCGTGTGCGGACTGTAGTGAGGCTGTTGCGGAGGTATTCATCGAGGTCGCGATGTTTTCCCTTATGTCGGCGATCAACTGACTCAGCTCCTCGCCGTCGCAGTGCCTGCGAAGAGACTGGAATATAGAAGCGATTGATATGTTAAAGTCCTGGGTCACGCTACCGTTGAAACGGCTCGTGAACTTCTCTAGGCTTTCCCAACGGCTCGTGACCCAGGCAGCTTCGACGGCGAACGGGGTAATCTTGTTGACGTTTGAACTGTTGATCCGTATACCGTCGACATGGTTCAGTAAGACGTCTAGACACGGTAAAAGTCAGCATTTGGTACCAATACGAAGCTGAGAGAGGTAAAGGACTCACCATGCTGTCCGGCCTGTTTGAGGCAATGAAGAAGTTCTAGCTGCACCTCTGGATTTTCAGGCTTTTCTGCCAGCTGCATCTCATACCAAGTCTGTGCTGCTGTCCAACGGCCTGCTTTCTTGTGGCTCAGAATCTGTTGTTTGATATCCAGGGCGGGGAGATGGGCAGATATGCCCTCCAGCCCGTCTGGTTCGTCAATGTTTGCATAGATGTCCTGCAGCTTCTGCAACAGCTCGGTCCGCTCACCCGGTTCTCCTTTCTGGTGCTCCATGTTTTGAGCATGATGCTCCAGATGGAAGAGCGCTCGAGCATAGTCGTTGCAGTCAATAGCACATTGTGCTATCTGATCCGGGTTGATAGAGTCCAAGACGTTCTGTATGCTTTCTACATTGACCTTGTCGGCGGGTGACAGTCTGCTCGCTGCCCGCTTGTGTTGCACCCATCTCATCGCATAATCGAGAACCCGAAATACCGACTGTGAACGACAGGTTAGCTGCCAGCCCATGATATTATGCAGCACATATCCTAGTGAACCTACGTGGTAGTATCGCTTTTTATCCTCCTTCTCTGCATATGGCGCATCATCCGCTGGCCGATGAGCCAGGATTCGCTCAATCTCCGCCAAGACGGCTCGCTTCTCGTCCTCAGTGCTCCTCTTCCCGAGAAGGACATGCAAGAGAAGATATGGAAGCAGAAACTCGGCAGGTGAGAGGTCCTTGACTCTGATAACGCGTGTGAGAGGCTCGAAGATCATGTCTGCAACCGGATTCTGACCTTTGCGGAGAAGGTCTATCACGAGAGACCTCAACCAGTTGGCATATGGCTTCCCCGGAACGAAAATAGGATATTCCACATTAACGGGGGGCAGAGGCGCAAGCACATATCTCGAAGAGAGAAAAGGAGTCAGAACCTCCCTTACAGTCTCGGGCATCGAGGTCCATTTGCGGTAAATATCATTACCTCCGAGCATACCCGTGTTCTGCATGGCGCACGCCGCCTTGACATCACAACGGTCGAGAAGCTCCTGCATCGCGTAGGAGAGAAAGCCTTGGATACGTGTATCCGTGGCAGACAGGAACGCAGGGACAAGTACTTCTTCCAGGACAAAAAGACTAAAGTCCGTGCCCTCTTCAGGCACCTCAAAGTTACTGAGGATAACGATGGACCGCTGTTCACGAACAGTTTCAACTTGGTTCGAATCAAGACAGCCGACAAGCCCGAGGCACTCCATACAGAGCCTCGATATATCGGGTTGGATACCGTTGTACTTAGAGGTACAGTCGAGAAGGGCCCGAAGGAGGGTGGTAATGGCTGAGTCTGGACGTTGGCTGATGACAGACGCGTAGAGGGCAGATTGGTTAGCTTTCAAATACGGAACAAGCTCCGATAGTGCCAAGTGAACGACTCCGGAGCTATCGTGGCGGATGCGTTGAGCGAAGATGTCAAAGGCTGTCTCGGGGGCAAGTGCAGGTCGGAGACCATTCAGCTTTGCCTCAACATCCTCCAAACCGCTGAGGCCGCAGAGCGATGGCAGCTTGGTTATGTACCTCGTCAACGAAGGTTCGTAGCTACTCAGAAGGAAGCGCATCATTTTGTCGACGACGCCGGTCCCGGCTGTGTCCAGAGATGTCCAGTAACGATGGACAATGAAGAACGTTGTTTCGAGAAGAGCTTCTACGTCTTCTTCCTCGAGATTAGTGATCATTGATGACCAGCAAACAAATGCTTCCCCCCTTAGGGAATCTTGTGGAAGGGCTGACATTAAGCAAGCAGAAATCTATCGTTATCATGTTAGATCCGGTCACGATGGACAGGGGAGATTGACAAACCTGCGGCCGGGCGATCCTCGAGTACCCGTGACACAGCCTGATCATCTCGTCCATAGCGAGAATACACCGACGTTGCTCCATAATTGGCGGGTTGGTGGACATGGAGTCGCTGATGACATCGGTGAATCGAGCCATCAATCCCAAGAGATATGGCTGCAAGAAGCGACCGATGACGTTCCCTTTTCTGTTCTTTTCTTTGCTATTAGTGGCCACCAGGGCCGCCATTGTTTGCAACGCTCTCCGTGGCTATATAATACGTGTCAGTAGGTGATGATCAAGACTAGGTGTACAGTCAGGTTATATGAACTCACAGGTGCCTTTCGTGAAGTGTCCGCATCTCCTGCCGCTTTGAGTAGTTCCAAGATGGTGAGCACAGGTTCCGAGCGTAGCAGTTCCGACAAGGGCTGCGCCTCGAAATGAGGTGATATTTCGACTAGGCATGACTTAGCAAACCCTTCGAGGTCCTCGGTCTCTTGCACGAGCAGCCTGGATAGGGTAGTGGCCAAGTTCATGCTGTCCATAAGAGGGCGCCAACTCTCGCTTTCTTGGCGAGCTTCTGCAATCTTCTGGATGATATCTTTCTTCTTGTACAAGACCAGCCACGGGAGTGCGTGAGCCTGGATCAAGAGTAAGAGTTCATTGACAGAAAGCTGCAGCAGTTCTGCCACCGCGCGACTCCTTTGAGGTCGTCGGACCATGTCTCTCGTGACAAGGTAAGCCAGGTTTCTCCAATACGGATCCAGCAGTCGCCTTGGAGTCGTCCCGAAGCTCTCGGAGAGCTTGAGGATTTCGTTGAATGCAAATGCCGACACCACATTGTTGCTATCTCCCAGATATTCGAGAAGTTGTATTAGGACCAAGTTGAGTTCGTCTTCCTTCACAACACGACCGAGCTGACCCCATGTCATGATGCAGGTCTCTGTCAAACGTGGGTTCTGTTTTTCCGAAATGGATTTCAGGAGAGCAATCACATTTTGGCGGTTCCGTGCAAACAGCTCACAGGGAATCGTAGGCTTCTTTTGGGTTGCGGGATTGGGGATCAGGAATGCCATGAGGGTCCTTCCAGCTGCTATTCGAAGCTCCCGAACCGAGCTGCTCAACGATTGGATGCACCACTGTCCGGCACCTGAGGTCTCCAGGCTGAGGAAATCTGGGGTTTCGCAGTGGAGGACCATGGTTTTGAGCGCTTGCATTGCAACAATTCTTGTCCTCCTCGAATCCAAGAACGCCGGAGACCGAACAAGGTTCGAAAATGTGTCATACCAAACGCCTTTATACGTATTGCCCGACGGCTTGGCAGGTGCGCCGCCTCCCGTAAGGCTACATATCGAGCAACCTGGGCTCCGGAACGATTTGGGTGATGGCAGAGCCGTGGACACTGTTTCGTCAACAACACAGAACCCCCGTGACAATGTCCCAAGAGCAAAGCATTGAGAAGCTTCATCTACACCTCCGAACGCTCCGCTAAATTACATTAGCATGGCTTGAATGTTTTGACGCGGACTAAACTCACAGAAATCTTTCTTGGAAGACGCCGGGGTCATCCTCTTCGATGGAAACATTGACCTGTAGAGCGCGGTAAATCTCCTGTACGAGGTTCCTCACATCGATCCCTGAGGAAGAAAGCTTTGTCTTCTTTGACAGGTGGCGCGGTTGATATTTATCTCCAGGGTTCAGGTCAGCCATGTCGGCCCATTTGGATACTTGCTCATCCTGGAATTCGTAGAGTTGGTGAGATCCTTCGGGAGTATGAGGAGACTCTTTATGGATGGTTCGCTCGAGCAGCTTCGCACATCGCTATAGTCATGTCAGATCAAATGCACCGTCGTATGACAACAAGGAAAAGCGGGAGCTTACCCAGATGTCCGTATTCTCGCTTACGGTAGGATATTGCAACGACAACAGGGAAAGCTCGTTTACCAGCCTGGACTCGGCCAGACGACCAACTGACCTACTATTGAGAGATCCCTGTGCGATTGAAAGGAGAGCTTTGCAAAAAAGGCGCCGAGCGCGATCTCCTGGTTCATCTGTCATAACAAGATACTCTGGAGACGAGATCAAATCACTGCATACCATGATGAGTTGTGTGTATGCTTTCTCTCTGGTACGGCCAGAGATTTCTCCGCAGCTAGCAGTACCATTCAATATATCCTGCAACATCTCGATGACGAACATGGGCTGGCCTAGGGAGCTTGCCTCCCATCGTTTCTGGACGAGCCGGAGGTCCATGAGCGCATCCAAGAGCCAACCACCCGTTTCCGGCCAAGGGACAGCGGAGAAGGACGGATCATTCGACGTAACCGGATATGCCAGGACCCTGGCCAAGCTATATGCTTGCCTCAGAGCTTGAAATGTTCGTGGGACGGTATATGCAGTATATCGGGTTGTGTGTGCCCAATCGGGGCCGAGTATTTGGGCCAGCGCAAGCGTTGGAGGGAGCGTGATTTCCGATGCCGCATCCTTGTGTGAAGGTGGGAGCGATGCGTCTTGTAGGTGGTCGAGGAGGCCTATTCAGGTTAGCAGGCGTGGCTGGCGAAGTTCTTGGACGAGTGTGACTCACCAGTCAACGAAGCTCTGTGGTACAGACCCAGAGATGGAATCATCTCACGAAGGGCCTCGCTTCGAGAAACCACAAGGAATATGTACTGCAAAAAGCCTTCGATGGAACCCTGTAGCTCCAGGCATTGGGGATGCCCCAGCATGCGAAGCAATTGGGGTAGCAGCCAGATCCACAACGGCTCTTGCCCCCGGAAGAGAAACCCTTCCCCATTTGTGCGGTACGTGAGAACAGATGGGGTCTCTTTTACTGTAAACCTCAAAAAATTAATAGCTTTCAAGACTTCGGCTCGGACGTGGATTCGGTCTAGGAATGGATCATCGAGTTTGACATTTTCGAGGACGGCGCGGGTGTAGACATAGATGAGCATGTGGTTATGTTCTATCCTTTCTTCGGGGGTCTTGAGGAGGTCCGGATTGTCCTTGACACGCTGTATCGTGCAAAAATGGCTTTTGAGCTCGGCATTTTCGTCTGATCGAGAGGATTTCGTCGAAGGCGAGATGTCCTCCACCAGCTGGGCAGCTAACGTGGACGGAGGAGGGGCGCCATTGGCAAGGCCGGCATCGAAACCTCTGGTCGCTGAGGCATTTGCCATTGTCGTCTCGGCATCGTGGTCCGCGGACCTTATTCTCAAACAGTCTGCTGTAGGCCCAGATCAGGTTAAAGATTCAGAAATTCACTAGCGACATTCACTGAGTGAACACGCGACGCTCCGGGGTGACGAGGGGTAACGCGAAATCACATGACCAGGCGTTTAAGTGCCAGGCGTTTAAGTGCCAGGCATTTAAGTGATGCCTGGTTCTGAAGTGGATTTCGGGCAGGTTATAATACGGCCGCACTTTTCACGCTTAGTATTCTTATCACCAAAACCCCCCCCCCCCCCCCCCCCCTATTTAATGCTTTTACCCCTCTCATCTTGTTTATATGGTTGAATGTATCGACTTGTGGTGCTCTTATCTCTTCTTCCCAATCCAATAAGCCCTCCTCTCTCTCCCCCCCCCCCCCCCCAAAAAAAAAAAACAGAGATTGTGATTGAAGTTGATGTCACCGATGCCTGGCAGGGCCTCCAGGTAATTTCTTCTGACCCTATTGCCAACTCCTCATGACGAAAAACACTGTTGAACATTGTTCTGTTTTACCTACACTATATTTTATTTTTTTTAAGTGTCGTCAACAGCTTGATGCTTGATGCTTGTATCTGCCTCCTCACATGCCCCATTGTGCTCTATGGATCTAGTTTTCGTATCGAACTGTGACCATGTCGTGGGTCACTCCTACATGATTGTTAGCGGCGGCCAGAAAATTGAGGAAATACTGGAACTGCATACCCCCAAGCTTGACCGCGTATGTGATCTTTGCCGACCCATATCTAGCCTCAATCGCCCCTTCAAGGGAGTAGTATCGGTGGTAGCCCATGCGCGTGATGCAAGACTCCCGCTTGACCGAGTCAGAGACCTTGTTCATGTCGAGCGAGAGCGTTGCGATACTCCGGGTGGCAGCGTCCACATGAACGGGAGGCTCGGCATCGTCGTTGCAGAATATCTCGATCTCGGTCTGCGGCTCATGTCCATAGCCTGATACGGGGATGTCGCACTGATACTCGATGGTGGATGGCTTTCCTTCTGGGTATGACTCGCCCTGCCATTCGTCATCTGCATTAGCCGAGAATGGTAACCGTGCCGATGGGTGAAAAGGGGGGGGGGGAAGGGTGGACACACCTTGCGTATGAACCATAGCATCTCGTTCACGACCATCTCCTCTTCCTTGGACGACCAGTACCTTGTATGGTTGTTAACAGTTCCGTTCGCAAAGGCGCCTAATGTGCTCAGGACTTACGCTTCTCTCGGGTCGTGCCTCAACATGTCGTACTTGGCCAAAAGACAGGTGCCGTATGATCGTCGAGCAACTCGAGAGGCGATCCCCACCGTGGCCGTTCCCGGACCGTACTGGGCAAGTCCGTGGATAGCAGCGCCCTTGACGACGGCCGTCCAGCCATTCTCGGGTTGAAGAACCTGAGTCCCAGAAGCGATGGCCTCTCGCACCTTGGACCGGAGGTAGCGGCTTTGACCGAATCCGCCCACCAGAACAACGGCAGTCACCTCTTCTCCGGCCATGGACAGCTGCTCCTTGATCAGGCATATGATGTCCCTCATGATAGGGTCGAAAATCATGTTCTTCATGTCCTCCTGGGGCATGGTGTATCGATTACGCTTTATTCCCAGGCTAGGCTCGACCTTGAGGGTCATCGGCTCCCCTTTGGGCGAAAAGCTCTTCTTAAACTACATGGGATTCTGAGCATGCATGCGCCATTTCAAAGCGTTTTCTTGGTTCCTGGGGGGCACCACGTACCGTTTCAAACTCATTGAGGGCAAACACCAACCTGTCATCAGTCCAGTACTTGTCTCCGTGGGTCTGCTTCAGGTGTCGGCGAAACCTCTTGTTCAGCATAGAGGAACCACACTGCCCGCCAGTACCCTCGGTAACCTCTTTTAGCTCAAGTTTTCCCACCTCGGTGACCTCGTAGGTGATCAGGTCGACCGTTCCTCCTCCGGCGTCGCACACGACAAATTTTCGCCCGAGCTGTAAGGTCGATGGGCTGAGATTCTTCAGGGTGCACAGCGCTGCGGCTTCCTGCGAGCTGTCAGCTTGTATTGCCTTGTACTATACGGGGACGTGGAACTGTACTGGCTCAGTAATCAGCTGGATCCTTTGATTTCCACAAAATCCCGCCATCGCTGCCGCCCTCTCTGTTGCTTCCTTTGCTGCATTGGACCAGATAGCGGGAACGGTGACGACAAAGTCCATGGGCGTCGATCTGACAACGCCTGGCGATAGCCGCTTCTCCAGCACGCTGATGAAGTGCTCGTGAAGACAGGAGAGGTATACCTTCGTCAACTCCTCCGGGGTCTCCCCATCCCTACTCTGTCCACTAGAATCGTCTAGCTTCCTATAAGGCAAGATATATATGAGATTCCTCGGACGGACCACACACCGGACATCTGCGGGGTAAGCTGCTCTCCGGCACTTACAGCTTAAAGAAACGGATCCTCTTTGCACCTTCTGGTATCTGGAAGCCCCATTGCCACCCAGACGCCACCCTGCGCAGCTCTGTCGGAACCTTGGCGCTGTTCCTGAAGGATGTGGTGGCCGGCCAGTTCGAGATGACGTGCTGGACGTCCGGCTTTGCTCCAAGTCAGCATCCCCATGTTCGATCGCGAAGCGGCATACCCTGTGTCCTTACCCTGCTTGTTTCGGCCCAAGCAATGCCAGAGTAGGTTGTGCCGAAATCTATGGACACGATGATCCTCCGATCCTTCATCTCACCCTCCTCGTACTCGTGCTTTGAATTGTCGCTTTCCGCGCTGCTACTGTTCCAGAGCATTGTTCCCACACAAACCCCAGGAAGGTTTGTTTGTTAATAGCAGTGTCGATTCTGTGGTTGTCTTCAAGCCGTGGAGTCATCCGATAGAGAGTCTGGGTTAGCTGACATCTGTTATGCAGAGTAAGCCATACCTGGAATCGCAACTCGAACAGTCACTTTAATTCGCACGCGCTTTCAGGGCCCTATCACCTTGCTATCCCGTGACTCTTGGAGCATTTGTGTCTGCCGAGAATCGAATCGGTGTTGTCGACGAGACGGTAGGGTGCCGTTGTTTATTGTCGAATTTGCAATGGCGGCTTCATTTCGAAATTGGCCAGGTACAGAACGGAGCAGTACAGGCAGTACTCGTAGCGAGTGGCCAAGCACGACTGGTCATCCCACGAGGAAACACGCGACAAATCCTGGCCTCCCGTTGGGCCTTCATGCAGGTCACTTTGCAGCGTACGGGCCAACGGTGGAGTTGGGCGGCTTGGGCATTGCTGACCGACACACACGCACGCACACGCACACAATTCACACAGCACGCGCACACAAGTGCACAAACAAGTACGACAGTAACGCCGGAGCCTGCAGCCTATAGCTGGACGCCTTAAGTGCCTTTAGACCGCCGAGCCCTGGCGCTGGAAGAGACCAAGGGGGAGGGGGAAATAAGTGAGCTAAGTGCTAGGTGAGGCTGCAACCCGAGACGTCATGAGCGTATCACAGAAAGTCGCCGGCCTTGGTCACTTGGCTCCCGCACCAATAGCACTTCCCTCCAGTCAACGTCCCAGACCACCATCGTCCGCGGCCTGGGGCTTGCTGCTGTATTCCCCTCCGACAACTTGACCATCATCGTCTCGGTCGGATTATTACTGCCACATGTCATCATCGCCACCATCATTGTCATCCTCATCCCCGTCCTCGTCGTCAAGAAAAATAAAATACAGATTCATATATCAGCTGGCCGACAGACAGACAGACAGAAAGGAAGAAAGAAAGAGGGGAAAAGAAGAGAGGGGGGAAAATGACTATGGAGGCTCTATTGAAGATCGCCGATAATTTTGCCCTGGGTACGCTCCCAGTTCCAGAACACCCCGACGACACCATCGGCCAAGACGAATCCAGGATCCACGAAGACACAAATGCCGCCGCTTCTTCGCCATCAGCATCAAGCAGCATAGAACAGAGGCTGGAAGACGAGATCCGCCTGCGCCAGTTCACAGAAAACGTCCTCGACTCGCGACAACAGGAGCTCGAGGCTCAGGAGGCGACGAATAGGGAGCTGGCGGCTAAGGTGGAGGAACTGAAGCGGGAGCTGGCCAGCACACAGGAGCAGCTGGCCGAGGCGCGGGGTCAGGCCAGGGCCAAGGGCAAGAAGCTGTCGGATGCGAGGGACCAGATATTCCGGCTCCAGCCGACGCGCAAGGACGTGACCGAGACGGAGGCGGTGGAGGGCTTCCGAGGCCTGTGCAGCAATGTGCAGCGATGGGTCGAGAATCGGATGAAGCCGATTCTGGATGATCTGGACGTCGGGAAGCTTAGGGCGCGGGCGCCATCCACAGCGGGAGCGACACGACTCACTTCGTTCATGAGGGAGGCCGCGCGACGCGGCATGCACATCGACCAGTCAGACATTTACCACGTCACGGCCGTTGTCATGAATTACCTCAGCCTAGTATTCTTCTCCAAGTCATTCTACAGTCCGTTGGACGACTACGAAGGCGACGCCACCTTAACCTTCCTAAATGAATTGGAGCTGTCCATGTCACGCCTACCTCGAGGTAAATAATCATCTTATTTTTTTTTTCCGTCCCACCCCTTCCTCTTCCTCTAAATAGCCCCCTTCTCCACACACATAATAATAACGATATGCAACCCCGGGCTAACATGAGAGTGATGATGGCGGATCGTGATGGAAACTACAGATGCTGGGCAGTGCAGAGAATGGAGAAGCGAGACCCTTACAGCATTGACTAGTCGACAGTCATTCAAAACTAGGCGAACCAGATACGTGACCTTGGTTTCCGAAGACCTCGCCACCCTCCTCGCCGTGGTGGTGCCCAAGATGACGGCGGCCGATCTCCAGAGCTCACTGCGACGAGCCATTATCGAGCCCGCCGCAGACCTCGCCCACCAGCTTCACCTGGCCCCAAGCATCTACTCTCTCAAGTGGCCCGCCAGAGGGGCAAACAGTCGGCTCGAAGTCTACGAATGCCTCAACCTCGCCAGCGGCGGCATGCCGCTGGACCTGACGGGCACGACACCAAACTCGCCATCCAGGCAAAAGGTGTCGTATCTGTTCGACGTCGCCCCCGGCCTCTTTGTCGAGAGGCTGGAGGCAGGGAAGAAGATGCCCATCAAGGCCATCTGCAGGCCGACGGTGCTCGTGTTTGGCGGCGACGTCGAGGTGGCCGTGAAGCCAACGGTGCTTGGTTGGTTGTGGGAGGGCTCGGCTCAGACGGGTCGAGAGACGCCGACTCGGCCGACGGCGACGAGAAGTAAGTCATTCTGGGCCTCGGTGATGTTCTAATGACCCTGACGTGTGTGGTAGCAAAATCGGGATCGGGATCCATCGGGACGACGTCCGGCCGGAAGAAGTGACGAGAGATGGAGAGGTGGAGTTGTCTTTGTCGCGAACATGAGCGTGTTGTGTCCTCTTAAGAGACTGGACATGTTGTTGTCGACTGTTTTAATTAGTCTGTCCCCCCCCCCCCCAGTACATGCATGCGACCTTGTATTCTTTTCTTGTCCTGTTCTTCCTCCTTGTACAGCAAAATAACCCTTGACTAGCTTCTCAATCTTGAATATTCCTGCCCCATCTCTTTCCCAATCTTGTTTCACTGTCTCGCTCTCCCTTGTTCATGAAAGACTAGTGTGAAAACAAGCCCTCCTCCACGACAATGAGCGCTTCGCCATGGTACTTCCGTGAAGGGCGAGGCGGCAGGGTGGGAGGATTGTTCTCGTCGGGTACAACACGCCTCTTTCTTGACGGGTTGTTTTCTTCCCGAATTGCTGAAGGTGACCGCCTTTCCTGGCGGTTTGGTGATGGTGCTGATGACTCTGCCCGAGCAGGGGAATGATCGCCGCTCCTCGGAGAGACTGTGCGCTTCTGGCCACGAGGCGAGCCAGTCTTTCTCCTTACGCCGCCACCCGGCACAGCCAGCTGGTCCTGGGATTTTGCGGGAGCGGGGATGAATGGACGTATGCAGTTTGTGATGTAGTCTTCGTCTACACCGAGGGCCCTGGCGTCGGCGATTCCCAGGTTGATGCGGTTGATGTACTCGGCCTTTGGAGAACTGTCCTCGACATGGTTGATGCTGATGTATACGAGGACTTTCTGAACCCAATGATGGGAAATGTTGGCATTCTTCTTCTTCTTGCTGCTGCTGCTGCTGCTGCTGCTGCTGCTGCTGTTGTTGTTGTTGTTGTTATTGCTGCTGCTATTGTTGTCGTTGCTATTGTTGTCGTTGTTATGGTTGTCGTTGTTGTCGTTGCTGTTACTGCCGCCAGCGGCAGTAGCAGCCGTAGTAGACTTGTTGTTTGCCTGACGTAGGACTTTACCAGGTCCGCCACTATCGACAATCCATGAGGTCGGACGACGATACAGCACATTTGGGGCCCGGTGCAGGTGAACATCCATACGACGTTTTATGTACGCATTCTTTGAGACGCCCTCGTTGATATCGAGTTTGGCCTCGTCGACGGCGTTGATTTCATACACAAGACCGTCGACCCAATGTCCATGAGCAGCCACGACGTTCGCATACCCACGCTGATTGATTTGCCAGCGGTGGTTAAGCAGCCTAGCCCGCCCGATATACTTGCTATCGGGACATCGACGCTTCATCTGCCTGAGGTGCAGGTTACTCCCATATGCAAAGTAGTAGGTGGTGGGCCTACTAGGGGGTAACGGCTGCTTTCCTGGTGGTTGGGAAGCCATG